CCTCTCCCTCTCCGCGGTTGCCGGACGCGCTGCCCCCGATTTAAAGCGTAGCGACTTCAGGTCACCTCTCCTTTGCTTCTCGTAGGAGTCGCAACCCCAGGAGCCACAGCCCAACAGAGGACGCGGCCCCCACCCAGGAGCTTTCGGCACCAGCATCCCGACGACTCGGCGGCGGGATGTCTGTGGTTGGCATTGACCTCGGCTTTCTCAACTGCTACATCGCGGTAGCGAGGAGCGGCGGCATCGAGACCATCGCCAACGAGTACAGCGACAGGTGTACCCCGTAAGTGCCATGTCCGGTCCTCATCGCGGCCCTGGCGGTAGGTCCCGCCAGGTGACTCCTCGGGAGGCGCGCCGAACCCCGGGGTGACAGGTGCAGCTCGGCGAGCCAGGGGGGCGTCGGGCTGCCCGCTCCGCCCAGCACCCCAGCACCGGGACTTCACTGGCAGTTTGCGCATCGCTACTTTCTGTTCCCTAGCGGCCCTGCTTTCGTTTGTGGCAAGGGGTTGGGGTGGGACGCCCTGAACATTACAGAAAGATCTCCCATTACTTCTTTCTAGTGGGGCTTGCGGGAAATTCTCGGCCGCGGGAGCCGCCCCCCCCGCCCCGCCCCCGGCCAGCTGAGTGAAGAATTCTGCATTCATTCTGCCCTTCCTGCTTTCCCCGTCTCTCTCTGCGTGACAGCTTTCTCGCAGGAAAGTAAGAAATGAGAGCTTAGACTGCACGCATGAGAAGATGAGTTATAGGGTCATCTGGCCCAGAAATCTTTTTTTCCCCCATTTTCTTTCTTTCTTTTTTCTTTTCTTTTCTTTTTTTGGAACCAGTTGCGGTGTGCAGGGTTTTCCCCCAGTGTCCTTGAGAATTCCAGGTAATGGCCCGGTTTCCAGGGGCGTGTGTATTAACACGTATTAATAGGAGAGAATTGGGGATGGGAGTCGTTGGCCTCTTGTATGGGTAATGTACATCCTTTAATGGGAAATGGTGGAGTTAGACTCTATCCAAAGCGTATTTCTGCAGAATGAATTGTTGGGAGAGTCGGAGGCGGCTGTCCTGTATAAACATGCTTGAAGAGTGACTGTGTTGTGAACACTTGATGAAAGACTTAAAAGAAGTGGCATTATGTCATGGAAACATGTTCCATTGTTTCTTTGGTCTGGGAAGTTTGTTGGTGAAAAACATAATAGTAATTAGGGCAGGGATATGAAAAATTGGCTTCGTGTTGTAGGCTCCTGTTACCGGTAATTTTATGAGGAAACCAAGTTTCCATGTCTTACCTTCTATGGACAAGTAACTAAACATGTTAATTTGACCTTTCCGAATGACCCAAAATATAATAAATATAAGACTAATTTTAACCAACATCAGTGTTAAGCTAAGCCTTTAAATAATTAAATTACTGCAATTCTATGAATAATTTTTAAATATGTCAAGATGTCTAAGAGTAGCTTACTTGAAGCAGTCTGCTTTGGTTTCTTTGAAGAATATTCTAGAAGGTTTTATATAACCTTTTCCAGATATGCACTATATTTCTATTGAAATTTTGGGTCTTTATATACTCAAATATGAGCTTAGGTCAGTTAATCTTCATAGTACTGTTAGAACTCTTCTTTTTACATTTAAAAATGTTTTCCATGTTCTAGTTGTCAAGCTAACATGACACAGATATTTCTAAGATATAAATATATTATGAAAGGATTCTATGGAAAAGAGGAAATTCAGTTGGTTCAGCATCCATATAATTTGCACATTTGTTTCATTTTTTAACATACTTGATTATGTATAAATGAGAGAATACTGTGTGTAAACCAAGGACAGTTCAATGAAACAAATAATTGCTTAATTTTGGCCTACAATTAAAGGATGGAGGCCAGGTAATTTAACATATTAATTCTTTAGACTTCACCTTTGTAAAGTTGGGAGTGCTTGTACTAGCCTCTCATGTCGTGCATAAATTGAAGAGGGAGAAAGAAATTAACAGGCATAAATTGAAATTAGCTTAATTTTTCTGAAAATTTTCTTAAAAGAATAATTATACAAGAAGTACATGCTCATTGTAGAAATATGGGCACATTAAAAGATGAAATTAATAATTATAATTATTCCACCCAGAAATAAAACTTGCATGGTTTTCCCTGCGTGTGGTTTAAGAATAGATTATACTTTATATTCTGTTTGGTAACCTCATTCTATCTAAAACATATCTTTACACTAATTTTAGCATTTTTATCATTTCTTTAATTTAATCTATCCCTTATTGGACATTCAGATTGTTTATATATATTTTTATAAACAATATAACTATCTTTGTAACTAAAAATTTTTTAAGTAGCTAATCTTTACTGGAATTTTTATGTGGCAGATACTAAGCTAAGATCCTTCTATTTTAGAGAGAGGAAGGGAGAGGGATAGATAGAAACATCTATCAGGTACATGGCCCATTCACCATAGTAGGGATCGAGCCTGCAACCTAGGCATATGCCCTAAACAGGAATCGGACCATGACCTCCTGGTTCATGGGATAATGCTCAACTACTGAGCCACACTGGCCAGGCTAGAACTAAATTTTTTACTTTTAATTCCTTCAAATAAATTTCTAGAAATAGAATTAATATGTGTACATTTGAAAGGCCTTAGATATGTTTGTACTGTTCAATTAAGTATACAGATGGGGATTGGAATTTCCATTCCAGGCTTAATTATATCAAAGTAATTAGTTTCAACGTAGGAAAAGAAACTGCAGCCAAAGATCCTCATTCAATATCAGATTAAAGCATGTGGTCAACTAAAACATTCTGCCATGTTGATAATAGTGCTTGCACTATCATACATACCTCACTAATTCTATTAGTTTGGTATTAATAGCTATCTTTTTTCATAAGAAACCTAAAGCAGAGTTAAGAATTTTTGCCAAGAACTAGTAAGCAATAAAAGATTCAGTTCAAGCCACTTTGATTCCAGAACCCCAATGTGCTTCCATTATCCATTCACATATACAGACTAGGTTACTGGGGATGTAATGATCAAAGGGATAAATTACCTGGGCAGTTACTGTACGGAGAAACATCTTTGCTCTAATAACAAACTCATCTATTTTTGGCTAGTTTCTAAGAAATACTATCTTTTTAAAAAATGTTTTAATATACTTTTAAGTTATTTTAATAACACAAAAATTTATTTTGTTTAAAAAATCATAAAAAACATAACACAAAATATGTTAGTATAAACAAAGGAAAGTAGTGTGGAAGACTACTAGTATAAACTATTAACAATGGCTGTTTCTTGGAAGTAGAATTAGGGAGGGTGTGCTTTTAATATATAGTCTGTAATGTTTTGAATTCTTACGAATGAACATATTTTACAATAAGGAAAACTGATTTTTTGAATGAAACTATTTCAAGATATTTTTGTTAGGTGTATTGTTTTATCATCAAAATTTTGTGTGAACAGACTTATTATTCAGTGCCCTGACTTTCTGTCTCTATTATTTTCCCCTATTTCTTTACCAGTGTGTGAATAACCTGACAATATGGGAAAATATTATTTATACATTACATCTCATATATTTGGGATGTCCTCTTCAATGCACAAAAGTAGAAATCACTTACTTTGGGGTATTACAATTTTTTTACATCAAAAATGCCAAACTAGCCCTGGTGAGGATTTTTTTTTTTTTTAAGTAAAAATAGGAAACCAAGCTAAACAGATTAACAGTGATTATAGTTGGATAGGAGACTTTATAGTGATGCGTTTTGGGGGGAAGAGGAGGCTTTTATGTTTTTTTATTAAATATTCTTTGTATTATATGAATTGCTTTTGTTTGTATATTTTACTATGAGCTTATGCCATAGTTGATTTAAAATGCTGAGCCCAGAAGGCATGGCTCAGTGGTTGAGCATCGATGATTCAATTCCTAGTCAGGCCCGGGTTACAGGTTCCATCCCCATTGTGGGTTGTGCAGGTCTCTCTCCCTCTCCCTTCCTCTCTGAAATCAATAAAAATATATTTTAAAAAATAAAAATAAAAGATAAAGTGCTGAGGAATTACACAAAGT